ATTCTTTCAGCTGTTCAAATCCTTTTTCAAATTTGTTCTAGCTATTATGGGCACAATTCTATCGTAATAAACAAAAAAAGTGGTCCATATATGGACCACCGCCCGTCAAAGGGTTAAGCAATACCTCATCTGAAGAGATTTTCACGGGCTACAAGACTGGCTAGCTTAAGAGTTTTAGAATCCAACTCATTCATTAGAATTTTTTTATAACAGCCCCATGCTCAAAAATTTAACAACATTTTTTTAAGTAATTATTTTTTTCTCAGCCAAACAATGTCCGTAAGCTGACAAAACTTCAGAACATATTCTTCGAAGTGTCGTCTACAAACTGGGAAAATTTAGCAAAAGGTTTAAAACTAAAAAATTTCCGTAATTTTTAGCTAAGTGAAAATATTTTTACAACACCGAATTTTGCTCGAAGGAAGCATTTTCAAGGAAAAGTGTGGGTGTAAAAGTTGTCCAGAATCAGATTCCCTGGAATATAAAGAAAGAATTTTTCAAAATTCGTTAAACTGGACTTTTAAATCAAATTTTACTAAATGTTAAAGTTTTAAAAACTGTATTTTTCAATTTAAAAATCGAGTTTAATGAATTTTTCAAAATCCTTCATTCTTATTCCAGGGAATCTGATTCTGAACAACTTTCGTACCCGCACTTTACCTTGAAAATACTTTTCTCGAGCGAAATTTGATTCAAGGTGTTTTTAGAAAAATACTTCTTGCTCCAAAATGCTATCGGACAGGTCAAAGCGGAATAACTCAGTCAAAGTCTGACTGATGTCTTGACTGACATCGAAACCGAGGTTATACATAGAATACTAAAAAACGTCTCAAAAACCAAGTTTTTCAATCTTAGAAATCGTATAAGCCGGTAAAGGAAGGTCTAAAATAAAATTCCAAACTTATACCTCTGCTCTATGACCTTGAGTATTACCGGTAAAATTTTGAACTCGATCAGATTCGATAAAGATTTGAACAACGATCAGATGAAATTTAAGGGGGCTCGTAATGTGGCACAATGAAGCCTGTTAGAAAAAAAGTTGTTTTCGAGAAAAAACCCGTTTTGTACAAAGGCCGCTTTTTTCGGAGCATTTACCGCGATGCTTATATCTCCACGAAAACCCATCAGACAATTCTAGAAAACAGCTCATTGTCGAGAAAACACATTCTTCTATCAGACTATGCGTAAGAAAAATTTTGGATGTACAGAAAAGTAGAGAAAAATTTATGAAACTAAAAGATTGAGGAGTTTTAGGCTTTGAAGGAAAAACTTCAAAAATACATAACGTTTTGAAGAAAGATTGTGGAGGGCTGGTAGTGGCCTCATTTTGTAGTTCACACTTTCCTCTACATTAGGTTATGCTCAGCTCAAAATCCGTAATTTTTTCAAAAAAGAGGGGGTCGATAAAAGTATCATTACGGGCATATTTTATGAAAAAACGTTTGAATAATTCACTTACAACGTCATCCTTTTACTCACATCTTCTCTTCTCTACACTCACCTAATAGTCTTCCTTCTGCTTATTTTAACAAGACAGCGACCTCACTTTCCTTGCCCATAATAAAAGAACTTTCATAGAACAATACAATCGACTGTATTCTATTCTCTTGCGAAATTGCTATTTTGTATATATAGTCAATTGCGATTCTATAATCGATTTATACTTATTTTCTACTCCATCCACCCTCTATTTTGTTATGGATAGTAGTTGATAGAAAACATATATCCCAATCGGGATATAAATTCGATCTTTAAAGTAAAATTCATTAGCGAAAAAATAATGATGTTCGCGGAAAGTTTCGACCATATCGCCAAAAAGAGGTTAGAAAACTGCATCAAATTCTTTTTTCCTTCTGGCCAAGTCTTTTTTTCGGTCAGCAACCTTTTATTAAATAACTCTCGACATCCATATTCTATATCCCAATCATGATATTTTACTTTTTTTACTAACTATTTTAACACTTTCTCAAAATGTCTTGATATTTTCTCTTACTCTAGACATACATAAGGCAGTGACATCCAGTGAAATGTTCAGTTAAAGTCACGCTTATGCATCGTGATTCTTCGTCTGTGCAGGGAACTAAACATTGTTTACAAAACAAGATTTCAGATGCGTAAATTCCCTTCAAAAGTTGTATTCTATATTGAAAAAATATTGAAAAAAATGCATATTTAAAAACAAGAAATATTTTAGTTTTGTACTTTTAAGTATTAGGTAGTTTAGTGTATTGAAGATATCAAAACATACGGAAATTTGTGAAAATTCACGTTTTTTTGGTGCCTCGGCGATGACCTCTAGCAGAATGTTTTGCCTCTAATCGCTTAGCAAAACATTTCCATAAAGAGTTATTTCAGGATCAGTGGTCTCTTTTAATACGGTTTCTATAAATCACAGCTAGTAAGACATGAGACTTCGACTGATGTGACGTTTGAAAGACAGCCGTTTTGTCCTTAAACTCAAATAAATTTTCTTTAGATGACGAAGTATGAATTATTTGCTGTTGGAACGTCTAACAATAATACAAGGGATAGTGGTCAAGTTGAACACGGATATCCTGCTAGTGATAATATTGATTCAGAACAAGTATCATTTGAAGAAACGGCCAGTGTTGTATCAAACAAAGATGATAAGAGTATGCAATGTGTGACGTTCAGAAGTGTCCTATTGGGTGTATTATCTTGTGTTTTATTATCGACATTGAACCAGTACTTTTACTACCGTATCTATTACTATTTGTTTCCATCTATTTTGGCTTTCATTCTATCCTATCCTATAGAAATATTTATGGCGAGGGTTTTACCGTCTAAAGAATTTAGACTATGGCTGATAACATGGAAATTTTCGTTGAATCCTGGACAGTTCACAATCAAAGAACATGCACTTATCTTCATAATGGCACAAGTATCTTCTTTAACAACTCCTGCAGCACTTAAAATACAACAAGGTCTTTGGAATATAAATCCGCCAGGTTTTGGCTTAGCACTATTTTTCGTTATTTTAGCACAATTAATAGGATATAACATAGCTCGTACGTACATAAAATTATACTAGATTAATTCCGCGCAGCATCAATCAGCCCTACAGTTGTTTTTGCCCCAAACTCTAACATCCATGCTAAAAGAGAGCCCATCAAATTCTCATCAAGAAAATGTCATTTAAAAAATAAATAACATGAAATCAACGTAATACAGTTTGATTATATTGGTGGGCATGGTTCTAGGGCAGTTGCCCGCGGGACACTTGCCCGCCAGACAGATGCCCGCGGGACACTTGTCCGCCAGACAGATGCCCGCGAGACATTTGCCCGTTGGACACTTGCCCGCAGTGTACGAACACAGATGAGCCAAGAAGCGAAAACGTCGAACAAAGTGACGCACGACATTGTTGCTGACGGTGTTAGTCACTTATCAGATCAAGCAGTCGCATCGTTACCCGATCTGCGAAATCTCAAGAAGACAATTCGACGTATTCGTCAAAAGCTCAAAATTCTCATACATTACCAACGTCACGCAATTCAATGGTCATCCCGGTTGACTTAACAAAAACAGAAGCAAATCGAACATGACTCCGGTCCGACAGACAAACGATTTTTGATTTTTGCGACGACAAAACAGTTGAAAATATTAGAAAGATCATCGAGCATATTCCTCGACGGAACGTTCTCGGTCGTACCTAGTTTATTTTTTCAATTGTACACTATCCACTGTGAATATTTGGGTCATGTTTTCCCAATGGTTTATGCCCTGCTATCAGGTAAACACTTGGCTAGAAGTTTAATGTTTAAAGTTAATGTTGGTTTTTCTCCTTTTTTTAGAAAAAACAAAAAAGAATTATAATGACATGTTCCAAGCTCTTATCGATTTGAGACCGAATCTCGATCCAGTTAATGTGAAACTGGACTTTGAACAAGCAGCAATTGGTAGCATTCGAACGAAATTTCCACACGCGAATATTAGTGGGTGTTTCTTTCATCTGTGTCAATCTGTTTACCGAGCCGTCGGACGTTTCGGATTGAAAACAGATTATTCAGATGACCCACTTCTCGCTCAACAAATTCGAGCTCTTCCTGCTTTGGCATTGTTACATGCAGACGAAGTTATCGATACATTTGAAGAATTAAAACAACAATTTCCAGTCAACGGAAAACCCGTCTTGGCATATTTCGAAGAAACGTATATCGGTGAAAAAAATCGAGCAAGCCGACTGCGGAAAAACCCTCTATTCGATGTGAAGCTTTGGAACGTTCATGAAAGCACCGTACAAGGTGCTCATCGAACGAACAAAGTGATCGAAGGATGGAACAATCGCTTTGCATCACTAGTGGATTGTGCACATCCGAACATTTGGAAGTTTCTGCGACTGCTGAAAAAAGAACAGTCGATGGTCGAAGCCGAATTAATCCAAGCCGAAACCGGAGTTCGACGACCGAAACGTTTGGTGACAGAGCGTCAACAAAAAAGAATCATGAACATTTTGGATGAACAGTCGACAACAAATTTGGATAAAGTACTTGCACTAGCCAATAATATTTCACTCAAGTCAGCCTAACTTATTTTTCTATACTATAGAATTTACTATAGAATTTTTCTTTACTATAGAATAATAGAACTTTACAGTTCATTTGTCCATGAACCATGCTGTTGTATGTATTCATTTTTGCATTCAACTTCTAATAAGATGTACATATATGTATGACTGGGATGTTAAAATAATAAAATGTTGAATGTAATGAAAAAAACATTTGTTTGCAAGGCAATTTGCGGGCAAGTATTATTTACGGGCAACTGTCCGGCGGGCAAGTGTCCTGCGGGGAAGTGGACGTATACCAAAAAAAGGATATTATGAAAAAAAATTGACGATTGAAATGTTAATCGAATGGAATTTGTACCAAAGGTCTCGAAAAATTGTTATATGCTCTTACGACTTTGGCGATCAAAGTTCTTCTAAAGGGTCAAATCATAATAGGTATAATAGTTTTTTTTAATTTGTTGAAGTCCGAGTCGGGTGGCGGACATTTCGCAAAGTTATTTCGAACTCCTATCATGTGTCCGGGTGTTCGGAAATGATTTTTGTCCTGGACAACTTTCATTACGAACACCCTGCTTTTTTTTATTCTTGAATGATTTTGTCATTCCAAACTCCCGTCCACCTAATTCCGAACACCCTGTCTTTTTCTCCTTATGTTCGGAGATCGTAACGAACACCGGCACCGGAAGATCGTAATGATAAATTCTCGTATTTTCGAAGATAGGATCCCAATTCTAATGGATATCTCGGTCTATTAAATAGTAGAAATTTCGGAAATTTCCCTTTAATTACCAAAATTTAACCGAAATTCCCGAAATTTCTATAAATTCTCGTATTGTCGGAGATAGGGTCCCAATTCTAATGGATATCTCTGTCTAATAAATAATAGAAATTTCAGAAACTTAGCAGTAATTACCAAAATTTATTCGAAATTATCAAAATTTCTATAAACTCTCGTATTTTCGAAGATAGGGTCCCAAATCTAATGGATATCTCGATCTATTAAATAACAGAAATTTCAAAAATATCCCAGTAATTACAAAAACTTCCTCGAAATGAGCGAAATTTCTAAAAATTCTCTTATTTTCGAAGATAGGGGTCCAAATTCTAATGGATATCTCCGTCTATTAAATAATAGAAATTTCGAAAATATCCCAGTAGCTACCAAAAGTTCCTCTAAATTACCGAGATTTCTATAAATTCTACTATTGTCGGAGATAGGGGTCCCAATTTTAATGGATATCTCTCCTTGATAAATAATAGAAATTTCGGAAATTTCCCCATAATTACCAAAATTACCTCGAAATTACCAAAATTTCAAAAAATTCTGCTATTGTCCGAGATAGGGGTCTCAATTGTAATGAATATCTGTATATGGATGATTTGCAAGTTTATTGTACCGTTTTGAGAAAAAAATCGACGAAAAAAAAATTTCCGATTTTAGAAATTCTGAGCAGTGCATCTTAGTCCACTATATGAGAGAAGACTATGTATAAAT